ACGGATGATAGAGGATTCTCAACTCTCTCATTTTAAGTTTGTTTGTCACAATATAAAGGAAACAGACTTCTGATATAGGAATTACTTGAAAAATTTTAATAGGAGCCCTCAGACTGCATTTGGAATTGTTTGACTAATCATAAGCGAATAGCCTGTAATATCGGCTACGAAGCGAAAAATTGGGCTGACATCAGTGACTACTATGAATTTATAATGGAAGAAGAATCTCCTCTTCGAAACGAACTTAGAAGTAGTTTGAGATAGCGCGGAAATTAAAGAAATAGTGCTGAAAAATCTGAAATATTACCTGCTGTTTGAAGAGAAAGTAATGTAAGTAATGTCCCTCCTTATCTTTCCAGAAGGCGTCTCGTAAAAGAATGCAAAAATATGAATGATATTCGGCTAGAGCACAAATTTTTACCTATTTGGGGTGAAGGCAGGAGATTTTTAATGCTTTTCCTTCGAAAAATTCACCCCTTTCAAACATACCTTCAGTATTTTTTTTAAAGTCATACTCATATATAATCTCTAGAAGCGAACAATCTTTTTTTGTCGGGCCTCGATGCGCATCGATGCGAATTTTTAACATTCTTTCTGGCATCAGTGCGTCGTATTTTACAGTACCAAAAAGGGTTTTTTCTCCAGAATAAAACCCAAATTTGGTATTTTCAAACATATTATATGTTTGAAAATATTAAGTAGAATTATTTATTTTCGTTCGTATTTATAGTAGTAGTATTTTTAGTGGACATTTTTTATTTAGTACCAGCCATTCCAAAAGAACATGGTGTTTAGGGATCATCTTTGCAGAATGTCTGGGAAAGAAAAAGAAAGCTAGCTCTATGATATATTATCTATATTCTGTAATAAATCTAAATTCTTTATTTCATTATCCGTAGACGACCTTTTTTGTGTTATCAAAGTTAACTGATTTCTCGCGACATCTATCTCTGAACTGCAGAAAAAGTTTGCTTAGGTTTGCTTTCTCTGCATCAGTAGGTGTTTCAGGTCATCTCTTTGAATATTTTCACTCTCGTAGTTAAAACACAATTTTCTATTTTTCTCCCTTATGATTGGCTTATACACACAATATCCATGCCTGTTAGCCGTTTTTCCGTATTTTGAGCACAGACATACATACAACCATTTTGTCAGGCCTAGACTGAATTCAAGGGAAAAAGCATTATAGAAGGACTGGAAGAAGATCATGATTTCTATACTCTTAAGAAGCAAACACCGCGGTAGCACTCTTCTTTTTTTGTTTTTGTTTTTTCTATCTCTCTGTCTAGTACACTAGTTTACTTTTTATTTTTGTTTTTTTATTGTTCTATTTATAGGTTCTTACTGTTGTTGTTTGGCTTGAGTCATTGTTATTATAGATCGAGGACCTTTGATAACTCTCACTTTTCGCGAATAAATTAGTCTTAGTCTTCGTTCACAAGGCTTACCATTTGAAATGATTTAGCTAAAAAGAATAAAACCAAGGGTACCGAGTTCCCTTTAAATTTATACTCCGATTTTTGAGAGGTACAGAAAGTGCTTTCAGCTATACTTTGACACTACCTTCTATCCTATGTCATCTGCGGAGCAGGGAGAACGAACCACAGAAGACTTTTCGGAATGTCCTTCACGTATGAGCAAGAAATACGCGTAAACCTAACCTAGAAAACCAAAAGGTGTTCTAAGATACGGAAACTGGTTCTTATTAGTAACAAATGCAGATACCCTGTTTTGGGTTTTGTAGGATACCTTGTTTTTTAGAGTGTGGTTAGAGTGACAGACTACTAATCTGTCAGACATAGGTTCAATTTCTTTACATCTGACGTTATTATTCCTTTTTCTTTTCTGTTGACGATTTGCGGGCTGTTTTTAAACCATTTACTGACAGTTAACTGCCTAAAAACGTCCTATAAACCGTCTACTTTACGTAGACCGTTTTAGCGCCGTAAATTGGTAGTTCAAACTGTCTGAAAACTGCCTATTTACAGCCAGTAAACCGTCTTTTAACGGTCAAGCTTCTCATGGAAATTTGATATATGAGAACGCGGTTTACTGGCAGTTTTTAGACAGTTAAAAAACCACCTATTTACGGTGGTAAAACCATACCATCCGAACCATCAAAAAACCATCTAAAAACTGTCTGAACGGTCTAAAAACGGCCGGTAAACTGCCTGTCAACTGGCAATTAACCGGGAGTTAACTGGCAGTTAACTTGGGAATTTTCAATGCCCTGGGTACACGAGCACAAATAGTCGTACATCAAATTGTGCTTGTGTCTAGGTTGGACTTAGTCAACTTAATTTTTAATGCATTTTCCAGGTGCATACTGAGCTAGATTGATTAAAGCGAACTTGTTTACTTAAAAGATGAATAACTAAATTTAACAGTTTGTGAATACAAAAGTATATATGTGTTCATCTTGTCATTACATGACATTTTTTGTTCGACATATACAAAGCCAGTGGATTTTGTTAAATGATCAATAAATTACTCAAATGAAATAAAACAACGTATAGAACCGATACATATTCGACTAAATATAATGGTGTATGCTTGAGATGAAACAAACAGCAAATCACCATTTTGAACGAATAATTAAAACATCAAAACATTTTTATGTTTAATTCTAAGATTTTATAACGAAAATATGTTTATTGTCGATAAAAACAGAAGACTGAGGAGATTTGTATTGTTTGTCGAATATATATTCCAGCTATTGTTTAATTGACCTCAAGCATATTTGTCAATGGGCGAATATCATTAACTGTCATAGAATTATATCTCTAAAATAAAGTATTTCTAATTTTGTATTTGTTTTAATGAATCACACAAATATCAATCTCTAATTTGTCTAAATTTAAACTTTCCAATTTATGGTTTTCAAATATTGATTTTATTTCCGTCTGTTCACAATCTACATCACAACAATCGTCGATAATCAATATTTCTAGTGTTAAATTCAGTTCAACAGCGTTTATAATAAAATGAAAATAGCAATTAAATTATTAAAATTGTCAGTTAAATGGTGGATGAATTCCGGAAAAATAGCTTTGGAATATATTGAATGTATTCCAAACCTTTATTATACTATTTTGAAATTATATGAAAAATTAAACGATCTATCATTGCCTATTTTTTATTGCAGTGAGTTAGCTAGCCCATGTCATCTTTTTTTATTACATACGGACGGTATACCGAAATACTGTCCGGCATACCACGGTTTACCGGCGGTATTTGTGGCTACCGCGACACAGAAAAAAACTGGGTGGTATATCGCGTGTAAAGAATTCACTAAGGAATAATTAAACATAATTATGAATCGTTTAAAAATAATTCAGTATATGTTCAACCCTAATAAATAAACTCTGTTCTAGCTTATCTTTATATTATAGCATTAGTGTAGAACAATGTTAAGCTTTTATAACTTATTTATAGCTCAGTATAGTGTCCAATAGTATAATCAAAATGGCTGCTCCTTTGTATTCGAAGGCAATGAAAGTCAGATACATTCTATTCATAAGTCGCTATAATCAACACAAATTTCTAACGAAATTACATTGCTGCGTCGGTACTTGAATAGGATTGGTGCGTACTCGAAAACAACAAAAAGACAAACTTTATCTCCATATGTTCTTTTTTTATTAGGCAAAAACTTGTGCCATATTGTGTGTACGTAGAACATTTACGTAGAAGTTTAGCCTGCCAACGCTTTTGAGGTTGATAGTATTTTTTGCAAAACGAGGAGAAAAGTTTGAAATTTAAGATGAAGATTCTTGGCACTAGGGATGTAAAAAAGAGTGAAAGAAATCGATGGAAAAAGCTGAAAAAATCTTATGGAGAAGTTATTAGCGTTGTTGAAGTACTGTTTGAAACGGAATTTGATTGCAACTTCTATTCATAAGTAAATGCTTTTATATTTTAAGTCATTTTATCCATTTTCGATATGTCTGAAGAAAAGTATTATAGTCGTAAAAGTATATAAAGAACGAGAACGTCGTCGCCAACAACATCAACAATGCCATTTTCTTCCAGAATCAGACAATAGTTTTAATGAAAGCGATGTTAATAATAATGAATGTATAGATTTACCAGAATCAATAATACCTGATGAAGTTAGCTGTGTTTCAATGAATTATTCACGTTAGATACTTAAAGATGATTATGTGACTGACGAGCATGACAATTTAGGAAACCCCCAAAACAAATATGAAGATGAATCACCTCCACTTTATAATGGAAGTAAAATATCTGTCATGAATGCAGTACAAATGGTAATGAAATTTTCATTAGATGCAAATTTAGATAAATCAACAATAATTAAGTTAATGAAACTTGTTAAATTAATACTTCCTAATCCAAACTTATTACCAACAACACATAAAAGTATACTTGGTACATTTGGTAAAACTACATTATCTACAACAAAACATTTATGTTCACATTGTCTATCGGTGAATAAAATATTGAGAAATAATCAGATTACAGAAGTTGTTACATTAGATATACGATCCAGAATTAGATTAATAATTAGAAGAAATATGTCATTAATGAGTGAACATACTGAATTATTTCCACAAAGTGATATATCACATTTTTCACATTACAGAACAACAACTATAAACCAAGTCAATACAATAACATTAATGTTGTATGCAGATGGTGCACCATTAGTTCGAAGTACAAAGCGATGGCTGTGGCCATGTTTTGCATCTATTGTGGAAATACCACCCCCAGCCAGAGATCATGAGCAAAATATTATGGTTGTAGCATTATGGGTAGGCCGTGGCAAACCAGGTGTGAATGTTTTTTTAAATGAATCAATACAGCAAATAAAAGATTTAATGGATAATGGAACCACAATATTTGTTGATGATAATGAATTTAAAATTATTCTACGTACACAATGCTTTATTTCTGAACTTCCTGCCAAATCTTTATTTTTAAAAACAGTCAATTTTAATGGATATTATGCTTGTACATGCTGTGAAACATCAGGTACCAAAAAAATATTTCTTATGCTGTCAGAAAAAAAATAGTTTCTAATTTGTTCAACTATACGATAGCCGAGTGAAAAGGATCGTTCTTCATGAGTGTGCCTTAATCTCCTCAATAATTCTACAGAAATCACATCATTAAACTTTTTTTAGAAGAAAATTGTTCGATCTAACTACACGCTGTACTAAGTTCCATTTTTTTAATATTTTGAAGGAAAATATAGCCATGAACATCATCTAGTATTATATCCTTATAATGAAAACAATTACACTGAAAGAACACATGATGAATTTACAAGAATGGCAACTGAAGCTGGTGGACGTGAGGTGGTAATTCGTGGTATTAAAGGTGTATCGGCTTTGTTACAGATTTTAAAATATCCGTCACAAATCATTTTTGATTATATGCACTTAGTATGTTTAGGACATGTTCCATCACTAATTAAAAGATGAAATTTAATTATGACTAAAGATAAATTAATTATTATTGATTACATTTTATCAAAAATTCAACTTCCACACAATATGAATGTTACATTCGATTATTCTATCAATGCCATCAATGATTGGAAAGTAAAACATGCACGTTTATTTGTTTTATATGTTGGTCTTCCAGTTCTTATTGACTGTTTACCAAGTTTATTTTTATCACATTTTGCTGTTTATCCAATATGTATAAAATTATTACATGTACCAGAAAATAGAAACGAAATTAATATGGCTAATGATTTAATCTATTATTATTGTCCATCTGCATCATTAGTATATAATCAATCAATTGAATTATATAGTTTACACAGCCATTTACATTTACCAAAACAAGTGGATGAACATGGAGATTTAGCGTTTACCTCCTCATTTTCATTTGAATCGTGTATTAGATATATTAAGAATAAGGTTCATGGAACTAAACATCTAGCAGCACAAATTAGTTTCTGGTGTGATGTTGAAACTATTATACGAACAACAAAATTTGAAATAGAAAAATCATCTGATATTAATGAAATCGATATTTCAAATCATTTAATGGATGAATATCGTCAAATATTATTAGCTTTAATCAGTATTATAAAACAACCTATTGAGGATATAACATTCTATAAGCGTTTCAAACAACCATTTATTACATTTCACACATATTTATATGATAAACACTTTAGATGCGCCAGTTATATTATTTCATATATAAATGAAGACGATGATGTTATACATTTTGATAATTGTATATTATTTTATAAATATCAAGATATGTACTTTTATAAATATCAAGATATGTACTTTGTTTTAATACAAAAATATCAATTATCAAATGAAAAAATTTCATCATTTGTTACAATTTCCCAAGAAATAAATGAAATATTAGATAAATTATTTTCATTACGAGTTCCGCCCGGGGAACCACTCATAGGTTATCTTTGATGGATTTTTAATAAGGTAGCTCGAATAATAATTACTACTAACACTATGCAGAAGCAGTATAAAATTGGTTAATAAGCAATTTTTGTCACTTTCTCAATACTTTTAAAATAATCTAACAATAGTTAGATTGTATGCGTACTTTTCATGAGTAATTGAAAGCTGACACATAACATGGTAGCATAGTACTTTATTGTCAATTTGATTTGCATAGAAAAAATTGTCGTGGTACTATTGTATTTTGATATCGGCGGTAGTATAACTGCTATTCATAAATATTTTTAAAAAGGGGTATTTTTGTTATCAAGGTTCTGAGTGACAACTTTATCAGTTCTATTTTCTGTACGTGATTGTTTTCTTTTGAAGTGTGTGTTCTGATGTATATGATGAAACAGATACTTGTTTTAATTTATTGTAACTGTGAAAGAGCACATACTATGATAAGTTTATATAAAGGATATTGAATTATGGAGAGAAAAGCCGTTCCAGTATACCGAATCAGTGGCAGTCCGCTTTACAGCTAAAATGTTCCAGTCCCAGTCCTCGATGAGCTTAAACTTTCCAGTCTCAGTTCAGTCCCAGTCCGCTAAGCTTCAAGTCCGACGCACACAATCCATAGATATTCGATGCCACTGACTAATGTGGGAACCTTTTTTATCCTATAAAAAGTAAAATAACTTTAACTGCTCAGTTGGGAAAATCGCAAGTGTTTGTCTATTTACTAACAAAGCTTATTCATAAAGCAAGTGAGTACGTTGTATTTGGAAATGGATAGTAGAAAATAGCTAGCATAGAGAACACAACTGACATACATAAATAAAAACTAAAGGATTATCAGCATCTGTTTTACCCGCTGTCAAGACGTTGAATCGCGTTTCCTACGAACCCAGGATTGGCATTCTGTGACTATTGGTAGCTTTGGAGACGGATAGACTATGGATAAGTGATCATGCTGAGTCTTGTGGCAATATTTGTTTTGAGAAAAAGTTTTAAAAATCTATCAAAAACCGAGTTTTACGAAAATTAAGGTTTTCAGACGGTTTTCACCTAATATTAACAAATTCCCTATTCATTCACAAAAAAACATCAGTATGACTTAAAAACTTTAGGATACGTTTAATGTTGTCCGCTAAACGTGATTATGGGACCGAAGAAATGTAAAAGACACGAAACATTTTTAGTGTTAATATTAGGCGAAAATCGTCTGAAAACCTTAATTTTCGTAAAACTCGCCTTTTGATAGATTTTTAAAACTTTTTCTCAATCAACAAAAATTATCCATAGTCTATCCGTCTCCCAGGCTACGAATAGTCACAGAGTGCCAATCCTGGGTTCGTAGGAATGCGGTTCAACGCCCGGACAGCAAAATATCAAGGACTTGCTTGACTCCCATATTTACGAGGAGTCTCTGTGCTATCGACCAATTAAAACCGATCAATAAAAGCCTACTAGGAACCTTATCCAAAGATCTAGAAGAAAACATGTTTCAGAAAACTCTTCTGGAACCATTTTTGGTATGACCACATAAATTCAAGTCTCCTCTTTCGAATGGCGAAAACCGCAACTTTTTATCTCGTTTCGTTCTAGAGTTATTTAAAATATAGCCACAGCGATTATTTTATTGGACAGACAGTAGTCAGAAAATAATATAGAATTCGCAATCGATCCTTACCTAACCTAGATGGTGACACAAACTTGTCACAAAATAATAGAGAATTCACAAACGCATCCTATACAGTACACTGGTGAATATTTTCACCTGGATTGGACAGAGAACTGAGAACAATATTATTCAATATCCCTGAAAAAAAGAATATGGATCTATCGTCTAACAGAAAGAACATGCATGTATATGCCGGAGTTCAGATTAAAATCCAGTTGAGTTTAAAACGCCACTAGAAGCAGCACCATTATCTGGAGAATTTGATAAAACAGTCTCACAATTAGATAATGATAATGATGACTTATTGTACAATCATAATAAATCTGATAATGAAGAAGATAATGATAATAATAATTCAGTAATAAATTATTCAGTTGATGATGGAATACAAAATTCACGCCAAAATATAATTGTTGATGCTGTAAAGAACATGAATAACAATGATGACCGGATTACATGGTTAAACTCGATAATAGACTCATGCGATAAGGACAGAGTCATTCAATATGATGAAGATTTGGGCAGTTTTGAGCCATCCACTAGTGCAAGCTCAAGTGATATCCGTAGACTGTTTTATCAAATTCTCCAGATAATGGTGCTGCTTCTAGTGGCGTTTTAAACTCAACTGGATTTTAATCTGAACTCCGGCATATACATGCATGTTCTTTCTGTTAGACGATAGATCCATATTCTTTTTTTCAGGCATATTGAATAATATTGTTCTCAGTTCTCTGTCCAATCCAGGTGAAAATATTCACCAGTGAATAAATTCACCGATGCGAATTCTGACGGCTTCCCTTAACACCATTACGTATATTTAATTTAAGTAATGATGAAAAATCAACGTGTCATTTATAAAAAGAAAGTGCAACAGTTACGTGGTAACAATTATTGAGAGGAAAGTGTGTTTTTATCACCAAAAATTACACTTCTGATTACCAAATTTCTTTCTATAGAAATGATCATCAAAAAATTACACTTTTGACGAGAAACCTCTACAGTTTCCAAGCATTTTGTTGATCGAAGTAGATTTTCTAGCGCAATAGCTAAACCAGTGTCATTTTTAGTATGTCACTCACTGTTTAAAAAACACTCGAATGGACAAGAGGCTGAAAGAAAGAAAAATTAAATGTACCTCGCGTCACATTTTCTACGTGTACATATTGATGGAATCATATTTCTCGTTGCATGTTTTGTGTTTCGATGTATGAAATTTATTCTTGAATAAAAGGTATGAGGACGAAAAACTAGTTGAAATGTTTTAAACTTTTCATTGTGAGCCAGTTATTTGCAGCCATTTAAGGATGGCATACAGGTACTGTAATATGGCTTAAAGAAGAATTTGTGAACTTCACTACCTTCGACCCTTCAGGCGGCCTGTGCTTTCGGACCTAGAATTTGCTGAAGTAAACGATTAAAACTTTTCAAGTAAAGATACAGGAAAGGTGATTTTTCATTGTAAATTTCTTAAACTTCAGCTCAGAAACGAAAGCTTTTGAGAATTGAGGGCGATGGTTGATATGCACATTTGTCTTCGTGGCCACACTTAACATCGCTTCTGGATTCGAGGACCTTGCTGATTTTCATTATTGAGAAAGTGAAAGAAAACAACGACAGTGAGACCTTTGAAACAAAGTTATTTTTCACTAGATAGAGAGAAAAGAAGACAAAAATTATATTTTCTGCTTTGTTTGTTGTTAAAAAAAATAGTATTCATTCGCATAATTTTATCAACGCTTTGACTTCAAAACAATCAAATAAAACGAAAAATGTTATCATCAGCAAATGATCAGCATAGAATTAGTACAGAAGGACAACCAAGTAAAAGTAGTAGAACCCTGCATTGATTCATCTAGTGGTTCAACAAATGCAGGCGGTGCTACATCGGCTCAAAGTGAAATCTATTGGCTGATAGATCTGACAGTACTGTAAAAACTAGCATAACAAATAAGCCACAAGGTTAAAAGCACTCTCAAAAATACTACATTAAATATTAAATACACATTTTTATGAACATTATTCCACTTCCCGAGAACCGTTTTGTATCTTGTTCGAGAACAGATATTTTCTTCCGTTGTTATCTAATTCTTTATTTTGAAAAGTCATAATAAGTATAAGGAATTCTCCGTTTTAACTTAAATTATTTGTTCTAACTATTCGTCTGTACATCGATTCAGTATGGAATTTATTTGCTAACGAGCAATATTACTATCCACTAGGTTTGAGTAAATGGTCACTTCTAAATAAAAGAGTTACGGGTAACGACGATGATATTCCCTCGCAAAAAACGGTCCTACTTTCCCGCTTTGTAGGGCACATCAAGGTGTACATATTTTTAAATTTTTAGAGTTTTAAAAAGATCTCACAACGTAGTTAAGTTGTGATTCGATATCATTTGTGCGAAATAGAGTCATTAAGAATTTTCTCTCCACAATAAATTCTAATATAAATCTCTACAGTAAATTTGAAAACCTTGAAAAAAAGACTTTTAAATAATTTCTAAAACTTTTAGCTTTTCAGAATAAATCCTCTCAAGTATTTAAATTTTTGAACTTACATTTATCAAAAGTTCTTTCAAGAAGAAAGTTTACGGCTCAAAAGTTACATTTACCTTCTTATGTCTCGTTAATTTTTACCGGTGTTTATCCTATCTTATGTACTGTAAGAGACAATGGAAAGATGGCTGTAAACATTTTTGGTACGCCTGCTGTAATTTAGTTTTTGCTCCGTCAAGGAAGTTTAAAGCTATGGAAACCTTAGCAGCGGATAGAAGAGAGGATAACGAACACTTTTTATATTTGTGTATGGGACTGGATAATGTTATTTTTTCAAGAAGATGTTTTACGACTTCACTAGCCTTTACTATGTTTCCAAGTGGAAGATCTCATGGGTAAGTTAGAGTGAATGCGCCTGTAATAAGCAGTTTTTTCTGTATGTCATTTTTCACAATTATTTTATAGAATTTGAGATTTTGAATGCCTCACTTACTTGATCAAATCAGAATCATAAGGATTTGCTGTTTGACTATTTTAACAAGATGAGGAAGCGAAGGTAGACTTGACGAAGGTAAATACATTGGTTTAAAGGAGTATTTCAATGCTCTAGGTACTAGAGACATATAAAAAAAGGATCCTTTTTTTAATACAGCATTGTCTGAGTACGACGAGGAAAGATATGTCTCCAGTACATAGAGCATTGAAATATATAATTAAACATTGAAATATAATTCACTGGAATGTTCCAAAGCATCCTAACAACTTTCTCATCTTCCCTTATTTGTATAAATAGCCTAGTTTTTGCTTGCTAAATGTGATTATATGATGGAAAAAACCGTGTGCAT